TGCTGCACCCTCCCACAGCCTGGCCCCTCACCTTTTTGGGTCTTTTACAGTTCAATGAATCAGGTGTGATTAGGAGTAAATGTGTTCAAATAACTGTAGCATAAACGTTTATGTGGTCTTTTCAAAAAGAGCGACATCAAACTCTGCCCATTGTAGGTAAACCAGCAACGAGGAAATGCCATCTGAGACAACACCAAAAGGAATAAGGATCTCAGTTATTTCTTCCTATGAAATTCGCTCCATTCTGGTCCCTCTTAATTAAGAGTCCCTATAAATTTGCTTAGCATAAAAAAAAAAAAAAAAAAAAAAAAAGGAAGCAATAACAGAACCAACGACACGCTATAAATTAATATTTTGCATAATGATTAAAAAAAAAATCCTAATGGAAAATCCCGTGTCCTTCTATTCAGAGATGTTTTCAATTATCTTCAAAGATGAGATCCGTGAACGGTGCACAACTCTGCCCTCAGTGGTGCTGATACAGTGCCATTAAAGTCAATGAGATTACACATGTTTGACTGATGGCAGAATATAGCTCTGCCTGTCTATTGGAAAGGCATTTGTAAAACATATTCCAAAGGACTAAAAGTGCATTAAAAAGTGCAACCTCTAAATATCACCTTTTTTACTGAATGGAAGTATGTGTCCTTAAATAAATTCATGAAAACAGAAGCATATTTCTTGTTCCTTCTTCCATGCCTTGTGGATTTCCCTGGACAGGCCTTTTCTCCCAGTCCTACTTCAGCAAAATCTATGAAGAAAACTGCAAGATTTCAGTAATACCCACCACCAAATTAACCGTGTATACATTTCTATTTTGAGAAGAAAAAGCTTTTTGTCTTTTGATTAATTGTCTTTGACAGACTAATCTAGGAGCATGAATAGGTTATATTATAGACTATTAACTCCCTGGCAGTCCCAGAGCTGGGAGCATTTCTGGGGAGGCAGGTCTCCTTTTGATCCTACCAGACCTTAATAATACTGTTCGTATGCATATTAGCAGTGGCATTTTTAAAAATTCATTATTAATTGAATCCTGATTTCTTCATTATTTTCCACATATTGTGTTTTTCCATGAGAAACACAAGTCATGCCAAGAAATGCCTAGAGAAATATCTTCATGTTGTAAGCTGTAAAACACATTCTACCATCCCGTTAATTTATGGCAGCAATTTGGAAGTTTGCTGAGCTGGACACAGCTGGCTGGCAAGGAGTGCATTGTTATTAAATATGAGCAACATGTGACATTAATCTCAAATTAATTTTTGAGAGAAAATGCATGCAACTTGCTTTGCAGTAATGCATAATAAAGAAGTAAAAGAAATGCCACAATATATTTTTGCAGAAGTTCATTTCTGTTTATGCACGTTAATTGGTTATTAACTGAAGATTTAAAAAAAAAAAAAAAAAAAAAGGAAAGGAAAAAAAAGGCCTGGAGAGAGGCCTGACTATTGAATGCACCAGGGATGAAGTCCTTCTATTGGCCTGATGGGAGTGATCTGATAACGCGGATAACTCCATTCGGCCAACTACAGAAGAGCCTTGGAGAAGGTGAGGTGGTCTGTTGAAGTCATGAGTGTCGTTTTGTGAAACTGCTACTCATGGGAAAAACACAAACCATCAGGTCTGCACTAGGACTTTACCTTGAATAATTCTTTGTAAAGATTGTACTTCTGTGGAGCCCTGGCTGTCGTTTCCTAATGCATGCTCCTGGATGGGGAATACTCACATCGTGCTGGACTGGAAAGAGAGAGTTTCTGCAGAAGGTTTTGGCTGTAAACCGAGTGTCGTTTTCATCAGAATTTTCCATAGGAAACATTGCCTTTTCATGAAAAACTCCCTACACTTAAAATGCTTACAAACTAGTTGTTTTTCAGCAGCTGCTGAAAATCTGGAGGGTTTCTAGCATCACTGTTTCAAAGAAAAGCAACAACGTTCAAAGAAAAGATTTCTTTTTTCTGAAAAATTTCCTTTAAATAGAGTTCCAATTTATCATCAAAAGAGAACACTATGGATGGAAATCATTTGGCCTGTCCGTCTACAGAGAACAAGTCTCACTGGAAGGTGGCAGAGGAAATCCTGACAAGTCATTCATGTCTGACAGGATATTTTTATGAAACAGAAACCCCATCAAAATCACTGCAAGACAGCATCCAAGTACTTGTAAGGTTCTCTGCGTGACATCCTTTTGCAAACCCCGCCTAGCACACCTCAAAGCCTTGAGAAGAGCCGCACACCTGACAAACCAGTCAGAAACATGAAGGTGTACTTTAAAACTGGCTGGTATGAGAAGCCACAGGGGTGGACTGTGGGATGTGGTTTCCTCAGATGCTGGCAGTAGGCGACTGAGTGGTCTGCAAGGCAAATGTTGAATTTACAGAAATCTACAACACATTGTAGGAGTGGAAGTTTCTGAAAATGTGCTAAACAGTTACAGATAAAGAGAGGGATAAGAAAACCCAGATCAGTCCCTCTGGTTTACTGAGAAAATGCTGTGGTTGCTTATGATGTGCCAGCACATCACTCCACAGATAGAGAAGATTTTGCTTTGGAATTAAGAACAATAAATTATTTATCATTACCACTACTTATTGACTAAATGCTGGTTTTCCACTCTTCAGACCCCACTGTGATCAGTGACGTTGGCAAGTTGCATTGCCTGAGTGTCAGCTGAGTACATTTTACTGATGAGATTTTTCTCTGACTCTTCAATCCTGATCAGTCCTTACTTCGCCAGGAGCTAATTTCCTTCCAATCTGTATCCATCAGCAAATGATGACCTCTTCATGCAAGCCTGGCTGCATTTGCTGGTGAGCTGGGAAAGCATCCAACCCTTCTCTGCCCCGCACCTTGCTCTGATGAGATCCCATCAGTTTAAGCCAGGGGGACTTGGGAGAGAAGAGAAACCCTATCAGACCCATACAAGACAAGATCAGTGCACTCACTTTCTGTTCGATACCAGGGTGAAGAAAGCTGGACACCAGGCTTTGGTAGAACTGCTGTTGATACAATGGCCTGGGGCATTTTATCCAACACCCAGTTTGTCAGGCAGGTATCCAGCAGCTGAGCATTATACTCCCGCATTATACTTCTCCCAGCCCACAACACGTTGCAGTGAGGCAGGGAGAAGTTTCTGTTTCATCTTCTTCAATAGATTCCTTTTTTAAGTGGTAATGGTGGTGGTTGCAGATCAAAGCTGATGCTGCGATATGCTGTGGATAATGTATCATCCTTTGAAATACACTTGCTCAGGATGAGTGCGGTTGGACACGTGGCCATTTGATTCACTTCAGATGCTATCAAAATCTGCACATTAATAATAATGATAATTATTTTCCCAGTCTTTACCACAGTTGCCTGTCATTATGAGGGGCTGGGGAAGAAACAAGCAACAAGACAGCCCATAGCACTCCAGCTGTGCCCTGAAATCATAAAGCAGGGGGTTTGTGCGCAGGAGACTGGCATGCTCCATGCAGGAGCCATCCTCTGCTCTCAGCAGTTGCTTTTCACTGACAACTTGCAGTCCTGTTATGGAAGTGCCATAAGCCAAAGCAATCATTTTTTTTTATTTATTTTTTTTCCCTTACTCTGTGCTAAGTCCCTGGCTGATAAGTCTCACTGCTTGGCAGCTGTAGCATGTAAATGCCAAAGCCAACAACACAGCAAGCAGGTGGTGTTTTCACCCAGTTTACTCTATTTGTGTGATTTTCTCAGTAATTCAGAAAGCTTTCTTGCATGAACACAGGCTTAGAGAGAGAGAGAAAGAGAAAAAAAAAAAAAAAGCGATGTGCATAGGAGGGCAAAGTTGCCTGAAAGCAAAAATCCTTTCAATTCCTTGAATCTGAGAGTTTGGCACCAAGAAGTGCTGGGCCTCCCTGGCTTCATGGCTACTGCAGCAATTCCCACTGCTCAGCAGCTCCCAAAGAGCAAAAGCTCTTTACAGAAAGTTGTTGTTGCTGTTCTGAGGGGGGTTCTGCTGAAAGGCTTGAGACAAGCAAATGCGAGAGCTTGTGGCTGGCCAACCTGTGCTAGATTTAGGAAGCTGCCAACACACAACCTTCAGCCAAGGGTAACAAATTTGCTCTTGGATGAGTTGTGAATAAATGAATCAGGATTTCAAATGTTTTTCAGGGTGAGCTTGCTGGTTTGCCACAAAACAGTTTGTACCCTCGTGCAGACACATCCCTGTGTGATACAGAGTGATTTTGTGATCCCGTACCATGCTGGGGGGAGGTCTTTGTATGGAGGAGGTGGTTGCAGGAGAGACAAGGACACACCTCTCTGCTCCCTGGCCTCCTGGCATTGGGACTGCAGCAAGAGGGGAGGAAACTCTGGTCCTGCAGCACTGAATCCCCTTCTAGCACCTGCACTAAACCCAGCTCACCATCAAGGCACCGCACCTCTGGGACTCGGGACACCCGCCAACCTCAGATCTCCAAGGATGCACCAAAACACAGGCAGCTGTGAGAGGGGCAGAAGAGCAAGGAGCTGGCCCAAGCATTTGCTTTTCCTCCCTCCTCCCCTTTCACACATTTTCCCCTCTTCTCCATGAGGCTTCCTCATCTTTTTTCATCCATGTACTTTGCAATAGCAATGTTGCTTTCACTTGTGTTTTTTTTATAGACTGTTATGTATGTTTAAATCAATATAAATAAAACCCACCTCTACATATCAGTACATATTGATAATATGATAATGGCAACATATGGCTGCTGTATATTATATGCATGATATCTATGTTATATTTGTTTATGGTCTGTATTTAACTAATTCTAGATGTGTATATATATGTGTATATATAGGTATATATATTTAAAGCACATTTTTAAGGTTCACAGCTCTACCACTTTTTCTTCCAAAGCCTAATAAAACAATTTGTATTTTCTGTCACTGGTTTAACTGGAATTTATTACCAATTATTACTGCTGGTAAGTTAAATTAGAAGTTGACTTAACTAGGGCAGGGATCCCATTAGGTTTACACCTGCATTTACTCCCCTGTTAGGCCCCGCAGCTGCAGTTAAATCAATTGGCACCATCTGTCCAGAGGCCTGCTTTCGGTTGCCTATCAGTACAACCCCATCTTCAGTCAATGTTTCAGCTCCTGCTTTCAATTCTCTGCCTGTGGCTGAAGACAGCACTTCTAACTCCTTTTTCAAAATGGGAGCATGAAGCAAAACCTGAACAGAGGCCTCCAGAAATGATGTTTGCTCCCTGAAGGAAAAGGCAGTACCAGAGCAGACCTGCACCCCACATGGGTAAGAGCCGCCTGTGTGCCCCACAAGGCAATCAAGCTTTTGTCTTGGTGTACAGTGCTCAGTGCAGGTTGGTGCAGAAAGGTGGATGACAGGAGTAGAATTTTCCTCGTGCTGAAGTAAAGGAATATTTACCATCACTGGTAAGACAGCCGAAATCTCATGTCTGGCTTGGTTTGCCAGGGATACCAAGCGCTGACGTCAGGGGACATGAAGGCACTGAGAAGCTCAGCAAACGAGGCCCAAAGAGCATCATTACAGAGAAAGCATCTGTGCACGCACCAAAAGGGAAGGCAAACTACAGGGAGTTTATCACCACCGCCCACTGCCACCTGTCTTCCAGCCCTGCACACAAGGGCTGTCTGTGTTTATCCCAAGACACCCACAGAGGGCTGCTCCCCATCCAGCTGAGACCAAGCGTGTCCACAGAGCTCTTACAGCCCTGAAAACAGCAACGTTCTCATCCCCAGCATCTGTCTGTGTGGAGACCTCCGCCTGGGCCGTGGGCAGGACATATCCCACCAGGGATATGCTAACACCACGTTAAATCAAGAGAAGATCTCCAGCTTTTTGCGTGCTGACATCCATGAGGGCAGCTTTGCTTTATGCTGCATTGTAAGAACCACTACCCGCCAGGACGAGGCTCAGGCCGCTCTGGGGGCAGCCTGCCACCTTGCACCTTTCCCTCTCATGGATCTCCTCTCCTGCAGACCTTAGGGGCAGGACATAACCAAGTCTGTTTTTGTACAGCACCTGACATGGGGAACCCCAGGCAGCCCTAGGCCTCCTCTGTTGCCATCATGCAAAGACAACAACTTCGTGAAATGTGCACTTACAATTTAACTGATTTGAGAAATAGATTGGACACAAACTGTTAGGCAAAATCTTGTGCCAGGTAGAATAGAGCTGATCTTCAGTGCCTCACAGTCGTGAGGACCTGGTGAGACGAGCAAGCACGGAGCAGCAGCCTGAGGGCACTTCCTGTTTTTTAGACAGGTTTCTCCCCACGTATTGCAGAGAAAGTTTGCTTTTCACAAAGTGAGATGCAAGCAAGAGAGGTGTTGCTAGCGCAAACTCTAAGTTCTCATTTTTACAGGAATATTCCTCAGCAACAGGCCAGCACCGAGTCAAAAAGAAGAATTAAAATATAAAAGCCTGAATCTCCTCCCTGGCCCTGAGAACGAGGAATAGAAATCATCGCTTCATGCCGAAAGGTGAGCAAAATTGATTTGCAGCCGGAAGAAACTGCTTAGCTGTGCACAAAAGGCTTGATCCTGCAGTGCTGACTCAGGCAAAGCTGCTGGTTCAACATTCAGCCCAGCACTTCAAATACGGTATTTTTTCAGTGTTCAAGCTCTCTGTTCAAAAGCAGAGCAACGCCTCTGCACCCTTCATTTACCAGTGTGCACATGTGTCTGTGTGCGTTTGTATCTAGGTGGCTGGAGCAAAAGTCAGCTTCTCCTGGCCTTGCCTGGCTGCATGCTGGGCCGGCTGGCCCCAAGCTCCCCCCTGTTTAGAGGTGTGTGTCTGAGCTGTCTTTACCATGCACAGTTTGAACAGAGCTGCTGGGATTTCCAAAGCTGCCTGAAAAATCAAAGCCAGATGTTGCCCCACTCAGATGCTGGGGCAGGAGGAAGGATGGCTAAAGGAAAGGCAGCGAGGCCCTATAGATGTTTGCCAGCACTCACACTGTCTGTGAAATGCAGAATGGTCTGGAAGATGGGAGGGAATAGTGGGTGGCAAAAGTTGCAGATGACACAAAATTACTCAGGATACTCAAGCTGGAAGCTGACTTCAGAGAGCTGTAAAAATATTTTGTGGTGCTGAGTAACAGGGTAATGAGCAAAAACGCTGATAAGCAATTAAAAAAAAAAAAAAAGCTGATCAGCACCAAGCAATGCATTTTTAGGACGAACAAAGATGTACAAGATGAGAGGACTTAACTGCTCTTAACTGCTATTGCTCATGAAAGCATTGACATCATTATGGAAAGTTCTCTGAAAACTTTTGTCAATGCTCAGGAGCTGTTAAAAGTCAAATTGAATGCTAAGGTTTCTTAAGAAAAGTGTAAAGCACAAAATGGCACACACCATTTGTCAGTGTATTAATCCACAGTGTGTGTGTGCACCTCAGGTAATGCCACTTCAAAATAAATAAAATAAATAAAAGGAGGATGACTGGAAGCATCAAGCAGGGATGCAGGGTGGCCCAGTGGAAGCCACCAGAACCTCTTCAGTCTGGAAAATCGAGGGTCACAGAAGGGGCCTATGAACATCCGTGGTGTGGAAAAAGGAAAGGGGCTAAGTGAGCTTCCTCTGTGCTTTCCCCATTTCCACACTCTAGGGCAGGTTTGAGCTGATGGCCACTTCCACAGGTGTGACATTTGCCAGGCAGACCCTTGAGCTGACCTCCACTGCCTACTCTTCTATACATTCTTGTGCAAAGCACATTTGGACAGGGAAAGTTATCAAGATTTACAGAGGTAACCTAATAAATTCTAAGCAAACTAAAGACAAATCTTGCTTGTGCTCTCTTAACCTGAATGTTATCCTCTGAAGATAATCCTGTTTCCTCAGGGATTCATGATGCATCTAACAGGTTCGTAGTGATTTATTGGCCATGGTTTATTCATGATCTAAAAAGTGCTTGATCTAGTCACTGTTTGCAAAACCATTACAGACGCCTCACTCTGGTGGCTTCTTTCTGGCCAAATTCAAGTTAAAATTGAATATGAATTATTATATTTGGCTTCAAAGACTTCTTATTCTGACTTTTGTCTTTTCCCTTTCACAGCCTAGAGGGACTTCAAGACTGCAGGAGTGTGTGAGTGAAGGTGTAATGGTGCAGTCTTTGATGACTTACATATGTAGTCTCAGCAGAAAACTTTGAACCATTTTCACTGACATTACTTTTGTTACTAAATTGCCTTATTTAAAATTTCATATAGACACATTTGTACTCTTCTGACCTATGGCCACTGGTATATTTATCCAGAACTAAAGAAGCGTGAGACACCCTGACATTTACAGCATTGGAAGTACTTCACTCCAGCATGTAGGGCAGAATCTGCCCTGATCCATAAAGGTGGAAGAGCCAGACTGCCAGCTGTGGCTGTTACCTGCCCATGTTTTACTCCACGGATGAGCTGTTTACCTCTGGGGGATCAGAGACAAACCCAGGTAGAGAGCCTGTTGCTGAGTACAATTGTTGTCTGCTTATTTAGCTAGCCTGATGTTGCTATTTTCTTTTTTGTTTGTTTGTTTAAATTTCTTTCACTTGTTGGAAATAACACCATGGGCTTCTCTTTTTGCTTCTCCTTTGTGTTTGAAAGCTCCATCACCTTAGTCCTCCTTTATGCATCAGGGCAGCATTTTTAATGCTGTTCGAATAAAATTTAATCTAGGTGACAACAATACAGCTTGATCTGGTCCACTTTTTTTAACAGTGCTAGTTTATCCCAATGGATAGGGACAGAGCTGCTCATTACTCTTTTACGTAACAATACAGAACAAAAAAATAATGAGGCTGGGGAAACGCCACTGTCTTCCTCGCCCAGCCTCAGTGGCTGCCTCAGCCCCAGTGCTTTGCCAGAGGGGAAGGACACCTGGGGGGACAACAGCCCCCACAGCACTAGTAAAATCAATATCAGGATTAGTTTTCGTCCTTAAGTACTCCTGCAGGGGGAAATGTACTGACCCTCTGTGTTTAAGCATGTGTTCATCCTTCCAGCTCCTGCAAGAACTGTTTCCTTAACAGAAAACATTTTTAACAATTTATTTATCAATTGCTGCAGCCTGAAACCTATTTGTCCCTTAGGTGGTGTTGCATTGGGTTGCATCAGCAAAGCAAACAACAGTTTATCACAGCAGAAGCTGCCCCCATGCGAAAGTGGGTACTGAAATGTGTAGAGCATCCTGGAAGCATGCTCCCGCATAAACTAAACAGCTGGTTTTAAGAAAGATCGCTCACGGGCTTTTAGAATAATATACTGTGTAAAAACCATGCCATGCTGAAAGTGTAGAACGAAAGTAGAAGATGTGGAGCTCATAAATCAAGATGTGGGTTTATGCTAATAGAGCATCGAGTGCGGTGTAGTAGTCATACAAGTGGACCCAGAGCGGGACTGTCAGAGGTTTCTCACCTTAACCCCCTTCCTTTGGATATACAAAGTACCTGCAAGTTTAGCCACCACAGCCTTCAGGAACCCTCTCTCACACCTTCCCACCACTGTACCCACTTGTTACCAAATGCCTCAGCACCTCTTTCCTGACCTAGGCCCAAGCGCTGAGCAGAAAGCACGTCGAGCCTGTGTGGTCACAGCTTAGTCATAGGAAAATGCCAACATGCCGAGGAAGCACACGCAATATTTAAAAAATGGAAAGGCACCCAGAGCGATGTGAGCAAAATGTCACATCCCTCCACCTCTCCTCACCACAGGAGAAGGAAGATGCTGTGGAGAGGATTGTATGCTTCCACTTTGCAGAGTGCAAAGAACAGGCCGTTTCAGGAAACAGCCTCCATCCCCTGTAAATTTGGGATGGCAGAGGGGGCCAGACCAGGGAAACGCTGCTCTGATGTCATGATGCTGTCGCCCCTTGGGGAACCAGAGCGTGGGAGGGTGGAGGGGGATGGCACGGGGGCTGATGTGGGGAAAGCGCCGTGTGTGCTCATCCCTCCACCCGCAAATCCTGAGCAGGGCGTCAGGCAGAAAAGCCCCGGTGGCTGCATTACTGTCATCATCCCCCTGACCACGCAGAAGTTCCGCTAGAAATTCCTGCAGTGACTCACCCCGCACACACACATTGCCACCATGTCCGTGTGCCGGTGGGTGGTAAGCGGAGCCTGTGCTGGTTTTACCAGAAACTTGTGCTCATCCTGGCAGAGAGCGGTGGGCTGGGGTGGAGCAGAAAGCCAGGAGCCCCCATGGCATGTGAGAGCAGCCCGAGCACTTGCTGTGCCAGACATGTCCACACTACCACCTCCACAGCACCCATGGACACACAATGTCCCTCGGCATGGCATGGCACAGCAGGCCTTGCATCCCTGGCAGGCAGAGCCATCCCCATCCACAGCATGGACATCTTCTCTTGCTCTCCTCGCCAGAGCTGCCTGCATGGCCCAGTGAGAATGGGAGGAGACGACCGAGCTGTGCAGATGTTGGAGTGAAGGTCACCATCCCCTTCACAAATATCAGGACTGGCTCCCAGAGTCCAAGGGCTTCTGCATCCTAGTGCCCAGCTGGCAACAGCACCAAGGAGCAGCACGGAGCTACCAGCCCCACCACCTCCTGGAGGTGTCTCCCCAGATTTGTTACTAGCATGTTGCTGGAAACCAAAGACTGAAAGCAGGATGTTGTTATTCCACTTTCCATGCTTTTGGAAGAGGACTTTTTGTTCTTTTTATTCACTGAGCTGCCAAGTGGCAGGGTGATTTAGTCAGGAATATAATTTACTCAAAAAAAGCCCGTATTTATTTAACTGCGGTTTGTGAGTTGTAAACTGTGACCTACAAGATGACAAAACAGGGAGAGGATAGTGGCCAGCTCAGTGAATGTGTGCTCCCTGTAGGGGCCTGATCACTGTCCAGATCTTATGAGACAAGATGTGCACCAGTAATTAGGGCAGATCTGTGCGCTGCTCTGCCTCTCTGCAGATTTGTTCCAGGTAATAAACCTTGATGGGATGCTAGGAGATATATGCTTTCCTACCAAGCCATCAAGGATTGATAGGGATGAAATTTCTGTTTCCTAGCTAACCTAAAGAAAGAAATTGTATTTTCCCAGTTTATTGGTCAGCAGTGCCATGGGCAGTAGGAACACGAAGGTGGTGGTAACATAGGAGCTTTAAAAAAAGCTGCTGAGAGTTGGACAAACATACTGCTGCAAGGGAAATGCCCAGTCCTACTTCTCTGTTCCCAGGCTGTCTTTACTCCAAGAGCAGCCTCTGATGGGGCTGGTCAGGAATTTTCTGTTGGAATCATTTCTCTCTAAATATGCAGCTTAGTTTTATGAGCTGTCAGAAGAACTGAAACAGAAGCGCTGGCTGCTCCACCACACACCCTGGGGGCTGCTGCAGAGCTGGCATGGGCGACCTCTCCCAAGCTCTTTTCCCTGGGACAGCCCGCAGGGACCCTGGGTTTTGGGGACAGGCAGCAGCTCCCTGTCCACAGGTGGGGCAGGGGAATGTGAGAGCACCCCGGTGCCCATGGGAAAGCCAACGCCACTGCTCAGCCCTGCTCTCCCTGCAGGGAGATGGGAGATGGTGGCAAGCACAGGGCTCCCAGACCCAACCCTGTGGCAGTCTGAAAGCTGGATAAATGGGGAAAGGAGGAGCTGCATCTTCCTATCCCTGCACTGGAGGTTCTTCCTTGCTGGCCACCTCCCAGGACATGTGGCTTTCCTAATGGGGATTTCTTGTACGTGATGTTTTCCTCCCATTTCAGAGAACCTCACAGAAATGCGACTTCTGAGTTCAGACTGGTTTGAGTGTTTTTGCAAGATACTAGGGAAGGATACACACATGACTATTTTTGTCTTGCTTTGGTTCAGTTTTGCCAAGGACTTTGAGCAAAAGCTGGGGTCATTCAGTTCACCCCAGCTTGCTGATGATGTACGACAGAAAGTCCATCAGCACCGCTGACAGCAGGAAGCTGTGGAAATTTCTTGAGTGAGATTGTTCTGGTGACAGTTTAAGGGCAGTTCTGTGGATTCAACAGTAACAAGTTCATGTCCAGTTCAAATATGTCCTGGATGCTTTTTTGGAGTGCAGCATCACTACCTCTGTGGTGATGAGGTAGCTTCCATGACTGCGAGGAAACAAAGTAGATATGTGCAAATGCTGAATTTAGGATTCTTTAGCGACTTAAAAGACACATTTTTCTCAGGTTCTACTTTTTGTACTTTTTTTCTACCACTCTTTTTCTACCACCCACCCTCTCAATAAAAAACAAAGAACAGCAACAACAACAACAAAAACAAACACAAAAACATATAAAAAATAACTGAATATTCACTAATTTCTTTGGCCAGGAAAGTTTAGGTAGAGACCTGTGCAGGTGTCTTCCCTATTTTCCTTTCTTTTGTGATCAGGATCTTTGAAGTGACTCTTGTAAATACTTGTTGAGAGAGTCTTGTCCTGGAAATGGCAGAGAGGAGGGAGGATGTGCTTCAGTGTAAAGGAAGCCTGTTGAGGTCATTTAACAGGAGGTACTCCACAAGACAAAGAGCAGTGCAGTGCTGTGCAGAGCCATTTCCCCAACAGTTTGTGTCCCTATGCCCAGCAGGCTGATTGCAGGGGCACCCCTGGGACAGACGGCACGGAGGTGCATCAGGTTCTCAGCTCCTTTCTTTTCCATGCTTCTTGGCACTGACCAGTCCATTCTGAACCATACAGTATCTAAGAAAAAGAGCAATCACATTCATCTGACTTTGGAGAAGGTGGGTTAAACTAAGGGTGCAAGTGGATCCTCTCCAAACATGGCCATATGCACTGAATCCTTGGATTGTTCTTCATGACAGACAGCTGGACCTCCATTTGCAATAGCCAGATACTTCTCCATGGAAAATCACAGATTCAGCTTTTAATATTTTTGCCAGGTGGGATGTTTGTCTTAAGAATCTATGGTTTTGGACAGTTTGGCTAACACAATTTCTTCATATGAAAAATAAGGTTGGGAAAAGTATTCCCTACTTTGATGTCACTAAATAAAAAATCAGCTTTTCTCTGATGAGTTCTGTTTTGTGATCTGGAGTGGAGACAGAAGATCAGGCTTGTAATTTAAGGTTACGAAATCTCAACCTAGAGAAGTCAGCTTCTGTCTCTTACTTTTGTTTGTTTGATATATATCAGGTGTCATTGCATTAAAAAATCTCAGCAAACAAACAAACAAAACAAAACCCAAATCAGTCAGAAGATAGAAAAGACCAGAATTTAGGTCTTCTGACAGCTTTTCTATTTTTTGTCCTTCTCTTCCATCTTCTCTCTTCGGCACATCAGGCATAGTGTTGCAGTTAATTACAAGTTCACATAGCATTTTTTCTCTCACTGTGAAGTTATTTAGTACATAATTCCATAGCTAAAGACTGTTTCATACTCCATAAGCATGGAAAGATTGAAGTATATGGCACAGAAAGCCTTGACTCAGAAAGCCCTGACTTCAAAATGTATACCATTTTGTTCCT